ACAAAAGATTTTTTAATCTGTCATTTGATTGGTTGGTGCTAATTAGATATTTATACTATTGTTGATGATATATTTTATAGTGAGCACAACTATAATTAGATTGTTGTTGTCGTTGTGTGAAATTTAAATTTCTCCTGCGACATTTTGATTGGATACTAAATATAAACTTTGCTGTGGGTGGAAAGCTATCACATTAATGTTTGTGTCAGGCTATATTTGTAAAATAGAGCCTGATCTCTGGTTAGTGGCGAGCTAGTCATGGCAACTGGTCATGCTATGCCTATGCTGATAAACATGCATCTATTTGAATGAAGCAAATCATTAAAAACTTGCATAGCATGACCTGTTGCTATGACTATTTTCACCACTGACAGCATTATAATTATACATACAAAAGCAAGAAGTTATAAGCATTGAAGGTATTCATGCAAAACCGCCCATGCCAAAAAATTAGAATTCCTGCCCCCTGAACGCCTTAGGGGCTGTTTACATAATGGAAGGTGGGATGTTTTTGTTGTATTGAAATAAGTCACTGGGCTAAACAAAAGTTTAAATGCTGGTTAACCGAACTCAAATGTTGTAGAGAAGATCTTGTGTTCAAGAAGATTTTTATTGGTGCTTGAAAAAACCTTTCGTTTACAAAATGTTTAGGAATGAACTTTCCCTGAGCCTCATGCTAATAGTATATTTTGTGTTCAATATAAAGACCACAGTAAGACTTTTTTTAAATGTGTTTATTACATTAACAAACGACGTTTCGGAGATTTACTCCATCTTCAGACTTCAGGTAGTTAATAGGATTAAAAACGTCTTACTGTGGTCTATATATTGAACACAAAATATACTTTCGTTTTCAGTTAACTAAAACTATCTCTAGAAAATAATGAAGTTTTTGTTGAATCGTTCACCATGACTTCTTTCAATACATCGAATTCATCCGCCTCGTAGCTTGTCCTGGCAAAGCGGGACCATATAAACAGCCCCTTATTCAGCAAATTGTGCATGCTGCCTTTGATCCCTTGGGGGTGAGGCAGCACTTTCCTTGCGATAGTAACTTCTAGTTTTTAAAATTTGTTATTGTCATTCAAATTATTAACCGTTAATTCGATTAAAAGGTCATGGAAGATGATAGGTCAATTTTCCTTCAACTTCCGTTCTACTTCCGGTTACAATGTCGAATTTACTTCCGTCACCAGTTGTTGCGGTGCACATTGAACGAAAGATTTTCGGCGTTTCATCCCTTTCTTATTTATGTACGGGTTACACCCTCGGCATCCTTTCGTAAGATGTTCGGAAATAGTCGCTGCAATGCAATATGTTTGAATTACATGAAGTAGAAGGCATGATATTATCGAAAAAATAAAAATCAGCTAATTTTGATCCTTTTATGACTATGTCTGCGGATTGTTGTAATATAAATATGGGATATTGGTTGATAACAAGGTATTTATAAAACACAATCGTACTTTTCTGCCCCCTGTGCGAGCACAGCGGCTCCAAAATCACAACAAAATAACAGAATATAAAGTAAATTAAAACAGCAAAGCTTTACCTACCTCGATGTATTTTTCTAAGGCGCTCGATTATGTAAATTTTCTGCGAATCTTTGCATTTGCTCGACGAAAACCATGGAAGAAAACGTGCATACGATTCAAAATTTATAATTATGCTTATTGTTATTATGCTCGTCCCACGTGATCTGCCGCAAGTTTCACCACCAACGGACACGAATTTTAAGCTATATGATAGTTGCATGCCATATATGGGCATGCAACAAAAATTGATTCAGCAAATCCAGAAACTCTTCCGACGTCCAAATGCTAAGAAAACGTTGAAAAACACTCCATATATCTGTATACATCTCAATTCAAACTGTTTCGATGCATTCTGAAATGAGAAAAATAACCGAAAATGTCGCCTTCGAATTCGAAAACAAGCTACAAGCGCCAAAAATCAATACTTAAAAAAACAGAAAAAATAAGTTGCAGAATACCAAGATCGAACTAAAAACTTGTTATTAACACTATTACCTGTCTAAAATGTGTTTAAACGGTTGAATTGTTGACCCAAAACCAATGTGAAAGAGACTTTTCGTTTAAAAAACGATAAAAAAACTGTCCCCTTTCTTAGATTACTACATTCTGCTATACCACGCATGCGTGTATGCGATTTTTGGCGCTTGTAGCTTGTTTTCGAATTCGAAGGCGACATTTTCGGTTATTTTTCTCATTTCAGAATGCATCGAAACAGTTTGAATTGAGATGTATACAGATATATGGAGTGTTTTTCAACGTTTTCTTAGCTTTTGGACGTCGGAAGAGTTTCTGGATTTGCTGAATCAATTTTTTGAAAGTGTTCTCAAATCGTCGTATAGTCGAAGCATACGGTATGAATTCGTGCAACAAGTCACGTAGACTGCAGAAAACTCGGAAACGCCAAAACGGGTTGTGTTTTAATCTAAAAGCTGTGTTTATGTTGGGAAATTGGGTATTTATGTGTGATTATATTCGAGGCATTAACTCGCAAAACGTATTTGAGTGGATGGACAATGTTGATGACGGACATGCGAATACTTAGTCCAGTCCCAGACCCTATTCTCGCCACACGGCGCGGCGGAGAAGGAGGGTCCAGAAGAATTTGCATGCGCATGCGTCAACTACCACCACACATATGTGGAGGTCGCCAGGTCGCTAAGCTCTGTTTACTGTGGGGAAAATCCGCAATGTCAAAGGAAAGTTCTGATACTCTTGCAGCGCTGATTGAGAACAAGTTTCTTCATATTTTTGGCAGAGAATTTGTTGAAGCCGTTAAGTTTGCCATGGAAATGTGTAAATATAATTTTTTGCCGAAGTTTGAGCAATTGCAAGCGATCTATTACCTGTCTCGCGGTAAAGATGTATTCGTTCATCTGAGAACTGGTTTCGGAAAGTCGCTGATTTACACGCTCTTTCCATATGTTTGCGATGCTCTGCGATCGTCACCAAACAACGATTGCCGTTCATCTATCGTCGTTTTGATTTCACCACTAATTTCCCTCATGGATGATCAGATGGCTAAAATGGCCGAACGAGGAATACATAGCGTCAAGCTCACCGATCTTAAAGACCGACAAGTTGAGGACCTTCGACGTGGAAAATCGAACATCAAAATCGCTTTGTTATCCCCTGAGGCATTTACCAGTTTGACTGTAAGGGAGACTCTGAGGGAACTGAAAGAGCATATTGTTTGTGTGGCAATTGATGAGGCACATTGTGTACTACAATGGTAGGTCTATGCTAGATATTTTAATAATTTAATAAATAAATTAGCCAAAGTGCTTTCCCTTGACTACAGAGCCTCATTCTATTGCAAGAGAATTTGGCTAATTGTCATATGTTTATACTAAGTTTTAAAGGATTATTGAAATTATTGAAAATGTGGCGAGATAACCAACGATTGGATAGGGCAAAATTTTTTTACACTTTGGTTCATCACGTTATATAATTAGCCTTGCAAATAAGTAACTTTATACAGTAACCTACTCTGAACTCACTTGATTTATTTTAAGGGGCAGAGATTTCAGAAGCGCTTACAATGAGTTAAAAGACATCCGTGCTTTAATGATGGCTGGATTACCTATAACTGCACTTACAGCCACTGCTAATTGCAAAACAATGAACTACATCACTGCTAAATTGGATATGGAAGGTTGTATTGTTATCAAATCATCTACAAACCGACCCAACATATTTTATAAAGTATGTATCCTTCCTAACTGTCAAGGGGATGATGATCAACTATTCCAATCCTGCTTTGGTTTTGTTGTTGAACAACTGTTGCAGCACAATGACAAAGCAGATAAAGTGATTATATACTGTACCTCAACTAATGATTGTGCTACCATTTACGAGTTCTTTGAAAATGCCTTGGGAAGCAATATTTATGATAACGCTAACCAATTATTGGTTAACATGTATGTAAAAGTTATGGATGATAGAACAAAAAAGGACATCATAGCGAAGTTTACCAAACCAGATGGTCCACTTAGAGTTGTTGTTTGCTCATCAGCATTTGGACTGGGGGTTGACTGTCCCAATGTGAGAACTGTTGTTCACTTTAAGTCTCCAGATACACTCATGCAATTTGTACAGGAGAGTGGCCGTGTCGGAAGGGATGGAGAAGCATCAAAGTCTCTACTGTTTGTTGGTGGAAGGGAGTTTGGTCATTATAAGGCTAAACTTACTAAATCGTCTGCCATGAAAATGCAATTTGACGAACTTGAAACAATGAAAGGGTATGCTATGAATACATCAACTTGCAGACGATTTTTGATTTTACACTATTTTGATGGTTCAGATGAAGCAGAAAAACAGTGCAAGCTAATGGAACCACAGAATTGTTGTGATGTATGTTTTAGAAGTGCTGGTGGGTTTGTAAGTACATCTGAGAAAGAGTTACGTTGTCTATCAATTGGAAAAACTGCAAATAAAGAAGTTGTTATTTACCCTCAACTATCTGGGAAGCAAAAAAGTGAAGTTCGACAACATTTGACAAAATATAGAGATGGTCTTGTGGCATGCAAGGAAACAAGCTTGTTTGGAGTTGACAAGGTAACTGGTTTCACTGAAACTGTTATTGAACAAGTTATTAGTAAATGTGATACTTTCTACTCCATCAAAGATGTGCATGATAATGTTGATTTATGGGGTGAAGACCATGCTATTGCCATTTTTAATATTGTTGAAAGTGTAAAAAATGTTAACACTAACCCCGTTTGATAAGATATGTTATCAAGAGCGTAAATAGGTCGATAATTGGAGGGCCATCTTCATATATTCGTGTTCTGCACAATTAATTTCTTTTAAAATCGATTGTTTTTACAGTCTGTGAACACGAATATATGAATATGCCCCCCCCCAATTATTGACCTATTTACGCCCTTGTATGTTATAATATCTATGGTACATATCTCTGCTTATTGGAGAACAAATGACAACCAATAACAACCAGTTAATAAATTGTCAACCTTCATTATCACTTTCATCTTGTTCATCAACTGTTTGGTGACTCTTGGAGAATCTTTTCACCAACCGTTGTACCCACGTCAACACCTTTCCCATATCTAAATCCTCAAGTATGGACTTAGCATGGTCTGGAAAGGCCTTGTGTTGTCTTCCTGCCCGGAACTGAAAGACATTAATCTTTTGCAAATCATATAACATGTTTTCAACATCATTTTCTGAACTGAGTTTTGTGTGGGTCTTGCATTGTGGATTGACTCCACATTCTTGGTCAAAATTCAGAACAACAGCATCCAACTTTTGTTGTGCTTTCACAACTTTTTGTGAATTTTTTTCATCCATCTTGCCTCCTATTCCAGAAAGAAGTTCTTTTGTCTTCCTTACCTCATGCTCTACTCTCATATCACATGCGATGTTCTTACCATGCCCTCCAGAAGTATTTACAAATCTTCCCATTTTAGTTTATGTGCCATACGAGGTGTCAAGAGTGATTCAAGAAGTGCAATGTACCGAAAAGCTTCAAAAGCATA